TTTTCTTAAATGGCATTAATCCAGGCAATTGTTATGAACGTAAGCCATTTGAATTTATCATTGATCTTTTGCTGCTTGCTATATTAATTGTTGACAGGTGAGGAAAATTGAAAGAAATAGACTCTAAGACACGCTGAAAGGTTGAACTAATTTATAATGTAAGACATAATATCCATTATTGAAGTTATTTATTACAACATAGTTAAAGGTGAAGTTTAATTAGTAAATGTTATGAAATTTACAAATACGTATGTTTTTATTATAGACATATTATAGACACATTAAAAGCAGGAAATATTTTAAATTGTATAAAAATACATAAGATGATATCGTAATAACGTACACCATAACAGAAGAGTATTATTATTGTTAGGGGATGTGACACTGCGACCGTCCGGTCCATTGTGCCCTCTTCTGGGTTTAAAGTAGGTCTTTAAGTCCTGTTGCGTCAATAAAAAGTAGTATAGAACCTACTCTACAGAGTTTTATTGACTCTACCCTAAGAATATACATAACAGAAGGTACAAAAGATCAGTATTTTTTATATTTTTTTAAATTTTTAATTCTAAAATGATTATGAATATACTAATGAAAAAAGTATTCTACAAAAATATATATTATAAATTAATTGAATAAATCTAATTTATGTTAGTTTGGTCTTATTGTAGTGATGCAAATTAAAATGAACAATTTAAAAATAAAAATTTTAAATTTAAATTTTTCTGTATCCCAACAATAAAACCAGACTATCCAGACCAAACTATAAATAATTTAAAGAACTAGTCAAAAATAACATTAATAATTAAATAAAATTGAGCAGAATCAATTTGGAAATTGATGAAAGGGTTCAATTTGAAAGAATTACTTTTAAATTATAAGTTATTTGCTGTTTAGATATAATCATACTTATAAATAACTGCATCTGCTGTGTAACTGCCCAGCCCTCACGAGAACTCGTCGAAAATACTTGGGGGCTGTCAGTTTTATAGGACTGCAGCATATGTCTGAGGTTGCTGTTGAACTCTTGTTGTTAATACAATTCGCTAATACCACGCGCATCCTGAGTGATGCATGCTATCGCTAAAAATAAGACTCTGATGTGGTATCGCAATGGACCTTGATGGTCAATGCATGGACTTTTAGGCCTGCCAGTATAACCTAACCTAACTTATAAATAACTAAAACTTATGTCATTAAATTAAAGATTTATATACTTATTTTTATATATTCATAACAACATCCATAACTTATTCACAATTGTAATAGATTTGAGTTTTTATACCAACATCAGGTCCGCCATGGAGTTTTAAATATATAACGTATTAAGCTGATATACATACATAGGTTCTTGTTTTATATATTATGATGTGTTTAATTTGGCTTCAATAGAACAGTTTAAAAATATTATGTCTAACTCATTACAAATGATATAAAGATAACTACAATAAAATATTTAGGGATGTGCTGCAATTAAGTCCTAAGCAAGTTAAAAAAAAAATTACCTTCAAACACAGGTCCCGCTTTAGTAAAGACCCACATCCCTTTTTTTGGAGTTTTATAAAGGTTTGTAACATTTCTGTTAATGTTTTTTTGAAACTAAAAATAATTGTGATAAAAAATTTTTAATAACTAATCAACTTTCTAGACCCTAGAAAAAAATACTTCATTATTCTGAAGAAATCTATATATAGATTAATGAGATATATGAAAGTAATGATATATATGAGTAAGATATATGTGTACCAAATTGTTCGTATTTATTTCAACCAAAAAAGTCCCATCTCAAACAGTATCTAGAATTAATATACTAAATGGTTTTCAATGTGAAACCACTTTCCAAAGTTTGGGAAAAAACTTTCAACATTATTTATTTAAAGAAAAGTTAATAGTTCAGATGAAATAATTTAAATTTTTCAACATTGAAGTTAATTTTAATTAATTACAAATAAATACCATAATTGATTAAAGTTCAATTTGGCACCGTAAAGTGCATTTACCTGTTACTACATTTTTACTACGAATTTTTAATTTTTCTTATTTAGGTAAATGCATTTGTAGATTAAAACTAATACTACCAATATTACTTATACACACTAAAAATTTAGTTTAAATTAACAATGCTCCTAGTGAGCTCTTTACTATATATACCAAAATTCCTGTCTAAAAACCTATTAAAACAAAATTTATCAAAACTAGAAATAATATTCAAAGAGTAGAGTTCAACACTAAGCCACTTTTATTAAGATGGTTATATATAAATTTGTATTACAAATGATGCCACTGAATTCTGGGCATATTGCAGATTAAGGTAATAATTCACTCAGCTCCATTAAACCGCAAATTCCAGCAATCTGCAAGTAAAAGAAATTTATCAAGACTACCTCTAATGGCATTGATAAAATTTAGTAGCAACTTTCAAGCCAATCCATGTGATACCTCACGATTTTCAGAGTAGCTAATAAAAGTATAAAAAATCATTTTTTAATGATAAGAAGCAATAAAGCTGAAGATAATAAAAATGCTAAAATAACGCATTACATAAAAACTATTAAAAATAAAAGTGCAACTAAAGATTTTGCCTCTAATATTGCTTTTAGCATCCATAAATCATATGTGAGTTAGAGCGGCGTATATGAAAAAGCAAGCAGCATTTGCGCAGTTTTTGTAATGTACTATAAGAGGTGTTACTCAGTTCAGTAGTAAATGGAGTAAAAAAATGTTGTTTAAGATTTCCACAGTGCGTTAAAATTATGTTACATAATAGAGTAAAAAAGCAACGATAGGATCTGCCATAAGAGTAAAACTACAGCCGTCAAAAATGAACTCTAATGCAAGAACACTTGTACTATAACTGGGAACGTTTTACGGAATCTTTGGCAAGCAAGTTTTGTGCATAAATTTATGAATCAAAACACTTATTTTCCAGTTTTTTACGCAAGTCTAATGTAATACTGACATTAAATGGTTAATACGCGCAATATTCGCAGCACTAGTTTCACGAAACGCCCATTTAAACCCTTGTTCTTATAGTGTTTCAATCATAGAACGAAGCTAACTTTATTTTCATTTTTTGCTCAGCTTGAAAGAATCTCCCCTATAAAATAAGAACTTCACTTATTTATAATCGTGTAATAAATGTCATGTTAACAATACTTTATTCCTTCCTTCACGGTATATTGTTCAAAATAAAATTTCGCCCTTGTATTCTATTTGTGATTGAGATCTTTGAAATGCGTAGATTTTATCATCAATTTCGTTTTTCAAATTGAGAATCCTAAATTTAATTTAGGATGCTGATTGCAGGATGCATATGACAAAGTATCTGCTGACTTTTATTATTCACGTAGTTAGCAGGAGTTAATTTTGTGCCATTGTTGGGTTTCTTGAAATCATTGTCACCTATAAAATTAGTGCGACATTTACCACTTATGTAAATATGTGTCTTTTATGACGTTGTCGATTTGATTATATCTCGTCACAAGTCGTTTAAAAAATTCTAACTATTCACATGCATACAGTTTTCACTTCATTTAACATACGAAAACAGTAAAATCGCAAGATCATGTGAAAACTTAAAATCGTTTATCATAAAATATTATTATAGGTAGTTGAATACATAAAAATATGTACATATATATATGTACATTAAGCATACATTAATTTAACAGCTTCAGTATAATATAACTATAATTGAAATGAATATTCTTAGAACTTAAAATGGCTTTTTATGTGATCATAAATAAAAGAAATGATTTTTTATGTGATCATAAATAAAAAAAAAAATTTTTTTAAATATATTGCACACAAATTTTATTACTAAACCACCTTTTTAGTATTTACTTTAAAATTAATATAAATTAATGGTTTGTAGGCACCACATAGTTTTAAGCGTCTTTTAATTTTTGACAACAGAAATGATTTTCTCATTATATATTTAGTTAGTTCATTAATGAAGAAATAAAATTTAATAAGTTTTTTAATAAAAACTAATAGTTAATAAATTGAGGAATTATATGAATTTTGCCGAAATTACAATATTTTGACAAGAGAATTGAATTGAATTTTCACGATATAATTAATAAGTTTATTAATGAAGACATAAAATTTAATAAAATATTGAAAATAGTAGCTAATAAATTATAGAATTATGGGGTATAAAATATACTTGTATATATACGACTTTTATATTGTCATAAAATAAAACAATCTGACATATAGTTAAAATATCTATTAAAAGAATTTTTATCGTTATATACCATGTTCAGACACACCTTAATTTCTTAAAAATCTTAATTTCATCTTCGTTTCAGCGAAATTAAGTTGTTACTTCCATACAAAATTCAGTTTTAAGGCTAGAACAAAATTAAGGAAAATGCCCTTAATATTTTTTTATAGTTATAATAATCAACTTTTAAAATTTTCCAGATTTTTAATATTCAATTTGTAAACAAGAAACATATGATTTTCTAAATTTGTAGCGGTATGAATACTTTCGAAATTAGCTTAATTTCATTTTTACGTAGTTAAGCAAATTTTGCTGTCTAAACATAGTATTAGTGTTGAAAAATTTTAATTTAAATTAACTTAAAAATCAAATTGAAACCAACAACAAGTAATTATTATTATACAAAATAAAATACAATTCTAATTAATTTGTTAAATAACGCTCGCAAAAAAATTTCAAATATATAATAAAAATAAAATAAATTGAAAGAAATATGTAAATATTACACTTATTTAATATACTTTTTAAATAAATTTTTTTTCAAATTTTATCTAAAGTATCAAAGCATCAAAGAGACTCAGCAACAAAACTCTTTTATAGTAAAAATTTCTTTGCAACATGTTGATATGCTCACGTGCCTTTCTTTCTGCACAAGTTTGTGTTGTGTGTTGCAGCATTGGTGAGTTTTTAAATAGCATTATTTTGAATTGAAAAAACTGCTACATTGGAACTTTGCCGCAAATTTGAAAATTATTCGGTTGTGAGTTGTGCAAGCGATAAGACCGTGCGCGTGCGTGGTTTATATTTATTTATTTCGTCAAAATACGGATTTACGTCTTAATAAACAATAACAAACTTATTGCTTTTAAGCCCACATCTTTAAGAAGTGTAATAAAATACTAATAAAAAATACAATACTGATAATAAAAATATTTTCAAAAAAAATTAAAAAATTATTTTATTTATAATAAAATAAAATTTTGATAACATATTAATAAAGTCAAATAATAATTAACTGCCTCATAATTAATAACTATAATAATAATAACTGTAATATATAATAACTCATTTAAATAATATTTATTATAAAATAAATATTTATTTAATATTTTTTTTATACTGAATATTAATTTTATTTCAAATATTTATATTGGATTGATTTTTAACGTCCGTTTTGAGGAAAGAAAATAAGTTCTTAATATAAACTATTGTTATCAATAGAGAAGTTTTTTGAACGGTATTAAATTATAACAATGAAAGTCTGTTATTTTATTAATTAATCAAATTAATTAAAAATTAAAATTAATTTGAATATTTATTAAATAATTAATTTTGTTTAAATATTTATTATAAAATAAAAATATTTATATATTATAATACATAACATAAAAATTAAATTTTCGTCAGTTTTAACTTTTTTTAATAATTGTAAAAAAAATCATGATTATTTGTGTGTTTTAGAATCTTAAAATTATATTGTAACGTACAAAAAATGTTAAGATACATTTATTTGCATACATTTTGACTAACAACATTTTGTATGAAAAGAAGTGTTTTTCCGGTTATCGGTGGTTTTTTGTGAAAAATGCGTTTTTCGTAAAACAAACATGAATATCCATTAGCACTTACCTTTAAAATTGATTTTTGTTTATTTCAAATACTTGTTTATTTTTTTTTGTGCGTGTATCTGCAGTTTAAATAAATATTTACCTCAATAAGTTTTAATTAAACATTGCTACGAGCATAAGATAAATTCTTGAGGTGGTTAAGTTTATAAAACTGTAATTTTATGTTACGTGTTTCAAATAAAGTCTCATATTTTAATTAAAATATAAAATTTTATATCCATAGAAAAATATGTTTTTCAAAAATTAATAAAATCTGTGTGTTTACATAGTTAAAGATTTTGCAACTTATACGTCTTCTAAGTGAAACCTCAAGAAAGCGAAATGTTTATAAACACTACTTGACAGCTAAACGCCGGCTTATCAGCTATAATAAAATAATGTCTGCAACTTTACATTTGTGAAATGCTATGCAAAGTTACGCATCTGTTTATATGACTTACTCTGATTACTTTTTAAGTGTAGTTTATTAAAAGATACAAAGCGAAAACACTAAAAAAATAACACAAGCAAGCTTGGATTTCTTTCTCAAAGTGAATCTAAATAAAAATGAATAGTTTACGACAGAACGGCGTATGTGACACAACGCCTTTGCAGGGTCTTGAAAGTCAGAGCAGTTGTAGTGAACCATCTTCACCGACAGCCGCTATAAATGGTGCATGCACAGGTTCTGTTTCAACAGGTTGCATAGAAGGTGCGTTACTTAAATCCGATACACCAACTTCGAAATCTACAATCTCCCTAGCTAATCACAACAATAATAAAATTGAAATTCATTTGAGTAAGTTTGTAAATGCCGATAAACATAATATGGAACCTCAGAGTGCTCGCTCCATTATTTGCCGTATTTTCATGGATTTTATTATACTGGGATGTGGTAAGTACTTTGTTGTTACAGAATGATGCAAATATGTAGAATATACGTTTAAATTATTGGATTTCTTTTGCAATTAAAAAAAGTATAAATTTAGTTAATAGAATGAAAAAATTTCTTTTATTTCCTCCTACACTTAATTAATACTCGTATTTATTAGAGTCTCTGAATGATTCATGTCTTTGTCATCAGTTTGAAGCGCTTCTTCCGGTTACGAGTTGAACCAAAGTAGTTTAATAATTAAATTTCTTTCGGCTTGTAATTTTTTTTTTAATTTATATATTATATTTTTAGTTTTGTATTGTTTCACTTGCTACTTAGTTTTAAATTTACTCTTTCGAACGTTGTTGTTATCGTATTCTTTTATTTGAACTTTTGCACTCCATGCGCGGCAAACCCTTGCGTGTATTCTTTGCAATGATTAAGTACTTAAATATAAGTAGAATATAAAATAAAAATTTTACAGTAAAAAATTATTTTTAATCAATTAATTTTCATTAAAATTGATTAACATTAATTTGGATATTTAAATATATACAAAAATATTTGTTTTATTTGTAGAAGAAGAACCACATATAAAACCGCATAGTTAGTAATTTCTCAAGCTAAAGAAAACTTCTAATGGAGAATAAATTTTATTAATTTTTAGTTTTATTACCATATATAGAAAACATTTTTAAGCTAATCAACGCTAATCAACTAATCAACTCATCAACGTACAAAAAGAGTATTCGAAACTCAAAAGGAGTTAAGTTGTTTCAAATTAGGTTATAACAAAAATTCGATTTTTGAAATATAGTCCATCCGCGTGTGGTGTCTGTTAAAAGTGTATATTTGCTAGGAGAGTTTTTACTTCATGTAACTGTGTACTTCTATATATTACCGAATGAAAGAGTTTTCCCTATTATAATATACTTCTTATGCTTCTGTGTAGCAATACTAATATGTAAATAAAAACCGATATTTTTATCGTATATCAAATGCAAATTAAACATTATTCAGTTCAGAATTATTCAGTTTTTATTGGAGTTATGTGATATCACATAATCATCATAAATACTGTATTTATTTTACAGTATTTTTAAAGTATTCTTTACATTTTTGCACAATATGTGAGAGATATGAATTTTTACCCTTCTTTAATCTTTCATTTTTTTAGATATATTTATTGCCAATCTTCAATTATTGTTTTTGTAAGTAACGAGTTACTTATTTTTATATATTACCGCTACTGGAATTACTGTTATTGGAAGTAACGAGTTACTTATTGTTATATATTTAAAATTTATAGGAGTATTCACGATCCTGAATAATGAACTTGGTAAACGAGTAAAATGTTACCACTATCAACTATAATGACGTTTTCGTGTGGTAAATATGGACTTAATCTATATTTCTATACTCTCGATCTGTCAAATTTTGTTGGCTTATCAAACATTTAAAGTGTAATTTAACATTTTCGGAGTAGTGTTAGTAGATATTTATATTTTCTATAAAAACATGTATCGAAACATATCACACTTTATATGTCAAGTCATATAACACAGCTGTTAATTTCATGGTAATCTTACTATTCTGGAAAAATATCGAAGGTGTTATACATATATTTCTATTTTCGATTGGGAAATCTCTAATGAAACCTATAACATTCGAGATTAATTTATAGTACCTTAGATATTTTGCCAGAGTAGCATGATTACCCTGAAATTAAAAGCTGTTTTTTATGACTTGACAAATAAAGTGTGATTTGTCTCAAGTGTTATATATTTTGCTGGAGATTTACTAATTGAAAATGAAAATTGCACTAAAAGTGAATCTCGATTTAAAAAGCTACTCCAGATTTACCAATCTACTCCAGTGACCAATCACTGGGTCGAGAACTATTCCCCTCTTCTGACATTAGGAGGTCCTCAACGGCCGACATTCCGGTTTTCATTCGAAAAGACGGATCTGTTGCAGCTTAAAAGATCAATCATTGTCGCAGTACTCCGCTCCGTTGGGAGCTGGTACCCCGTTTATTCTTATTCCTATCAACAATAAAATACAAGTACTCAAATGAATTTTGTTTTTGGCGATTTACACTGGTACAGTGTTACTCGGTTATATACCAAGTTTGTGACATTTGATCGTGAATGCCCCCTAGTGTAAAATAATGGTTTGATCATTCTAACCAGATTCTTTGTGCAATATTAAAATGTACTTGCATATTGTTTATGGTATATTCTAGGTTTTATTTTCATTGTGGTTTTCAATTTGCAAAACGTATGCTTTTCAGTACATGAAAATTAATCAAATAAAAATGATCTTCATATGAATTATGCGAGTAAAATAAGGAAATGCTTGTTCAACCAGTGATTTGCTGTCCGAATTCCATAACAGTAAAAGTATGAAAAAACTAACCGCTTAGGGGGATATAAATAATTCTTTTTTCAATAAGTACACTGTATAAAATTTAATCTATACCAAAAAATATAAAAAAAAATATACGTTGAAGTAGTGATTAAGCATAAAAGCTAAATTTGTGTTTTATAAATTATTATATATTATATATGTTTGCTTTGATGAATACCTCAACCTCAGATGGTTGGTGCTATCACAGTGAAATGCAATGAATAATTCCAGACTGCGACAATTATGTGTTATGTGGAACTACGTCGAATGAATATTTAAATTGACGAAGAGGCTCTCAAGTATAACGGAGTGTAAACATATCTGAATTTAATAGCATTGCGCATATTTTACACTCAACACTTTAAAGTACTTAAACTTGCCTTTTTTGTTTATGAAATTTTAAAAGACAATTGACATGAAAATTGTATTTGTAATATTTTTGTAAAATTTGTTTTGGAACCAATATGAGAAGTACAGATGCATTTCTTGTACAATTGTTTACTTTTTGTAAAAATAGCTTATAAATTTATTGATTTTCTATTTTCGCCCTTTATGAACAACATAAATGTATAGAGAAAATTAACAGCTATATATTTGGATCTCAATAAGTGAAATTTTTATTATTTTTCGTTAACAGAGCAATAAGCTTGCAATATACTATCTGAGAAAATAGCGATTGAACCATATAAAGAGCACTTTTCATTGTGTTTTTTCATTAAACATATATACATAGCTCATAACTCACCGACTTTCGTATATTGGATTAAAATTATTATATTATATTAAAATTATAATATTATAATTATTTTGTTTTAAAATTAAATTTATAATAAATATCTCTAGAGTTCACACTTATTCTTCCTTCTTCTCCCTTTTTATATGCAATGCATGCTAATTATATAGTGGGTACAACTTATTCAGCATAATTATTGATATATATATATCATATATAAATCAAAATGTTTTTACAGGTAGATTTTCGTTTGCACACTGTATCCCGCTAAATACTGAAAATAGAGCCTGTTACTAAAGGTTTTTTTGTTTTGTTTATTGAGCAAGGAATCATTTATCGCATTTACCGCTAAATAAGTCGGCAACAGCCAAATTATGTGTATAAATATTTAAACATTAACAATTTTGATCGAAGTTTTTTTAACAAAAAATATTTTATAAAATATGATTTTTTTTTTCTAATATTTTTGTATCTTTAACTTTTTTCATTTAGTGTTTATATTCAAAATGAAACAAATTGTTTGTAGAAGTTAAAATAGACTTATTCTATCTTTTCATTTTTTTAATGCTGTTAACTCACACTTTGGCTATTATTTAGTGAAATTATTTTTTCGTTTGTTTCCACGACTTTATTGCTTTTGGCTAGCAATTCGACTTTTGCTCATTTTAGTACAAGTATGAAAGCTAAGTTGAGCACTAACTAATTGCATGAGTGACGTGAAAGAATTTATATTGTAAATAAATGCATTATACTAAACGTAATAAGGCAATTAATATATAGTACATTTACTTTATTATTTAACGGAGTAGTGTTAAGTTTTTTTTATTTATAATAACTTTATTTAATCTTCTTACACAATTTTTATCATCTTCCACAATTGGTAGTTGTACAATGTGATGTTATAAAAAATGAAATTATATTTAATCTTTATTTTAAAGTTTAGTTAACAATTAGTACTGCATTTATTTATATTTCTTGGAGTATTTATCTTGCATTATTCATTCTTACTTATTCTGCCAAATTCGTCTGAAGCGTTTGAGTTTTAATTAAAGTTTTTATAATAAATTCTTAGAGAGATTTCGAAGAGTAGTGAACTATAACAACAAAAATTCTTTTTATATTATTTTATTTAATTAAATTTTTGATTGACCATACAGCTGTTTCGAGTATAACAAAAATCCATCATTAGTGGTCTTGGAATTATTTCTTATATTTAATTATTCGTAAATAATTTTTTGGGACTGCAAGTACCAAGGGTTGAACTCGTGCCCTGTCAAATTTGAAGCTCATTATCTAAGTGATCCAAAGCCGTACTTGACTTGTATGTTCGCACTTTTTTTCAATACTTAGTATTATTATTGTTATAAATTAAAAGTAATATTTAAAAACATATAGATATGTGAATAAATCTTTAAAAATTAAAATTTTTTCAAGTATAGATAGTTATGTGTTTGTCTTGTTACAGAAATAGGTACGATTATTTCTTTAGAATAATAATTAATCTAAAATGTGTTTCTTTAATTTGAGTTATGTTCTTTAATGGGAAATGGTTGCTATCAGCAGTGAAATATGAACTTAAAAATATCTGTTTATTTTTTTGTGAACATCAAACTACAACGTAGCGCTGATAGGAAAAAGTTTTTCTTGCTAATGAGGCATATTAAATCTAACAAATAGGTATTCTGTCAGGGACGTATTTAGAGACATTTTAAGGAGAGTTTTTGAAAAATAATTTAAAATTTATATAAAAAACTCCATTATAACTAGAGTAGGGTGAACCAAAATACTTAAGTGTGGTTTTAACTACAAAATACCCCTTGTATATGCCACTGTACACTATAAAAAAGATTTTAAAATTAATTAAAATTGCTATAAATCTTTATATGAGATAATAATATTATTGTTTTAACTAATAATCTTACAAGTTAGTTTTTGATGCTTTATCATCTATTTAAAAACAAAAATAAATATTAAAATATAATAAATTGGAAAGATGTAGTATACAATGTAGTGTTTTTTACTTTCCTATTAATAATTAGTGTTTTATTTTCACCAAAAAACGCTCATTTCATACCCCGGTACACTCAATACAATATTTAACATTTTCAATAGTCTTTGATTACAATCGAAATAATTATTATAATAAATTAGTGTATATATGTATGTACTAATACGCTTATTTTCTTTGAAATTAATTTGTGTATTTTTTCGGTGAAGTTTAATAAATAATTAATGATTTTCTTTTATTTTGAATTAAAGTTGGTATGCCAATACTTGGTTTTCATCTGTATGGAGCATCATATAAACGTGGTTTCTTCTGTGATGACGAAGCACTCAAGCATCCCTACAAGGCTTCAACAGTACGCAGTTGGATGCTTTATTTGATGGGTTTTGTGGTACCAATAGCAATTGTAAGTAAAATTATATACTATATATACGAGAATACAATGTATTCTCGAATGACTTGCAAAATTTTTTGATAATTCAAATATTTACAATGAAATTCAACAAAAATGAAACAAAAAAATCTGTGGGCGGAAACATATAAACAAAATTCTAATAAAATCAAAGTTCATTTGAATTTATTGAACTAATAATTGAAAAGAAATTGGAATTTATTTATTCCAATTTTTAATATGTATTTACAAATAATTTCTTAGCAGTAAGTTATTTGTTTCAATAACACACGAAAGCATTATTTCGTTATTTAAATGTAAAATTATTTACTTATTTATTTATTGGCATGCATAAATGCTTAATACTTAAGCTTTTAATATTGGCTTCCTGTGTGAATTGATCTTGTCATAAATGTTGCAACAAGACGATACTGAAGATGATGTTAAAAATTCTCCTTCAACATGTAACTAACTCATCATTCGAATCGCATACTCAAAGTTTTGGAAAAAGTAATATTTTTGGAATCGTGCAATTTTAAATGCTTAATTTTGAAATTGTTTTTAGTATTTTTTTTCACACACAAAAATCGTGCTTAGTTACACTTGTGTTGGCCCATGCTGTGCAACTGTAGTTTCTCAAAATTTATGATGTATGAACATACTTAGACTGCATCAGGCACAGATACTCGTACAGCATCATTTTTTATTCAGCGTTATATTAGGTAAATTAGGTTGCATGTAAATTTCGAGTTACATGCAGTTTGTGGGAAAGTCCAACTGTGAATGTTGCCATTTTTTCTATTAAAAAGCAAAGAAATCCAGGTGACCCTAGTTACCAAGACGTGATTATTTATTTTTTCTTTTTTAAATAAGAAATTAGAAATAAATTTTAGGAAACATTTAAATAAAACGTGCAAATTTATTTCAGTGAGAAAATTTTTTTATTGTCGTTAAAGATCACGGCTATTGAATTCTTTAAGTCACACAGTCAACGTATGCGCGGATTCGGCCACCTTTCTGGCGAACGTTACATTTTCTATCATCTTGAAATACCAGATTGGTGCGTGGAATGCTATAAAAAGATCGGAGTTCTAATATTTGGAGCTGGAGTATGTGAATTGACTGTGGAAATTGCTAAATATTCCATTGGTCGTTTAAGACCACACTTTTTTGAGGTAAATATTTTTTATTTATATTGTATATCACACAAAATATATAAATTCTTGTATAGATTAATATATGCTCACTATTTATTTGAAATGGTATGTTTGCTTAACACTTTTTTCAAAATTAATTTTCCATAATTAAATATTCATCTATCTATTTTTTAATATATCTTTTTAAATCATGAATATATTCTAAATTTACTTACATTGTGGCTAAGCACACATGTGCCCGATTGCGAAAAACTTCTGAAGGTCCATTCTTACGTTTTTATTACCAAATAGATAAAAAATTTGGTAAATTAAAAAACAAAATTTCGCACTGAGATTCATAAATACTGTAGTTTTTATTTAGTTAATAAATATTTGTACACGTAGAATTTTTAAAAAACATCGCCTTAATTCTATAAGGCATTGTTTCGTATGAATTTTAAAAACAAAATCCTAAATATTTAATTTTAAATAAACTAATTTTTAAAAAATTTGCTTTTAAAAAATTATCTTCTCTTTTGCATCAAATAATTGAAATGTACAAGTAACGTCAACTATTTAACTTGAAAGAAGATTTTTTATTATTTTTTGGGCAATCAATCAAAGCCATTTACGAACAGATGTTCGCATCTACATATGAATATAAAAAGGTTTTAAAATTTTTTATTAAATTAATTTGTTATTTCAAAGATGAATCTATGTACTCACAATTACTAATTACATTTTAATTAGAACAGCAATGCATATATACATGTTGCTTTGTACAATTGAGCATTTCATATTAAAATGCATATGTATCTTTAGCCAGAACAAATATTTCTTGCTAACCATACAAATTCCATGCAGTGCTGTGCTTAATTATGAATAAAATCTTTAAATGATTTAAAATCAGATATAAATAGCGGAATGCTTTGTAGTCTACAGACTATGAGAAATACAAAGAATTATAGAAATAGTGGCCTTGTATGAACATATTAGTTGCAAGATTTAGTTATACGATATCGAAGATTATTTTCTTCTGTATCTGGAATACAAAATTAATTATTATAGCATGTACAATATTTTGAAGGTTTGTCAGCCGATTATGTATGATGGCACTACATGTGATGACGCTATTAATGCTGGGCGGTATATCGAAGATTTCACCTGCCGCGGAGTAGATATGTCTGCGAAGATGATAAAAGAAGTAGGTTTGTCTTTCCCCAGTGGTCACGCAAATTTTGCATTTTATACGATGTTGTACATAATGGTGCGTAAAGAAAACTATCTGAATGTGCATATAAAAGAGAAACGATGTTTTCGCTTACTTTAATATATAAAAATTTGTTTAATTATGATTTGTGTATGGTAGATTTATTTGCAAAAGCGCATGACATGGAGTCGTTTCAAAATGTTTAAGCATTTACTGCAGTTTCTATTCCTAATGTTTGCTTGGTATGCATCATTAACACGTGTTTCCGATTATCAACATCATTGGAGCGATGTCTTAGCAGGATCTGCTATTGGCACATTCTATGCGGTTATAGTGGTGCGTGTCCATCTAAAAAATAAATACTTTTTATTCTTTTATACATAATTATTGCATATAGATGTATTTTTAAAAAAATTACTGGTTTTATTTGTTTTTACTATGTTTTTCTTTCTGCTCTTTTACAGACTTCTTCAATGTGGTAACATGAACTCAGTTTTAAAAAATTTTACCGGGACGATTCAATCCAAAATATAAAACTTCTGTACAATTGTTTATAGTTTCCTTAATTTATTTTAAAATATACATATTTTGTTTTATATATAGTGAATGTTTTGAATATTTAATGATAAACAAAAACAATAACCATTAATATTTTAAGTATAAGAATTTAAATTATTTTTTAAAAAGTATTTTTATTGCAATATTTTTAAGAAACTTTTGGTAATAAGTTCTAGATATTAAAATTAATTTTAATAAAAAACACAATAATAAAGTTTGATTTTTTATTAAGTTCTTTATCCAAATATTTATCAATTGCAATATTACCAAGTACAGAGAGATGAACCTATAGCAGAAAACGGAGTGCATGTGCATTCAGTGTATATCTCTAAACAAAAATGCAGTTAATTAGAAACTTTATTCCAATCACTGTCTCATTTTAACAATATATCTTCGACGTTCAGTATTCGTAAAAAACCTTAAATATATATAAATATATATATCAATATGAAAGAAGAGAGATAACTGTTTAAGCCTACTTCTAGACACATTGGTTTCAAGGTTGTGTGTTCTGTTGCAATGAATACGAAAGATTGTATTCATATAACCAGATAAGTTCAGGACGTAACTAAAATGTGATATATGTTGGCAAAAGAATTATTGCTTATGACAGACAAATATTTTTTTTAACGACAGAATTGCACTCTCAAAGAGAACGTTGGAAGAATGAGCAACATTTGTCCCATGGCAATAATTGTTGATATATTCCTCAATCGGCAACATCGATTAAGTTATTAAACTCATTAATGCAACATTGAGATATCCGTTTCGGTATTATGCAAGAAAAAATTACTTGGACAGTGCAACTGAAATTATAACCTGATCGTTATAGTGATTTATATCGCAAAACTGAACGAACATACTAATGCTACTGCAACACAATACATCGTAATATTGTTAAGGTAAGTATGAAATAGTTTTTATTTCTAGCTGACCCAAGAACAAGCAGCAAATTTTTTTAGTACATTAATCCCATTTACTACTTATCTATCAAAAATTGTGGGGAATGCATATCCCAAAAAAATGAAATACTTTGTTAGTTATTTAACATAAATACATAATAATTAACTTAGAACTGGGAAGCTTTATTCTAACAGAATAGTTTTCTATGAATAAAAGATCAAAACGATAGATTTTAAAGTTTGAAACACTACTAGGTTAAGTTAGGTTATATCGGCGATCCAATGGAGATTTTCTTAGGCATATTGGCCCATTGTACTACAGCTGTATAATAGAAAAATGCAAGGTTTAATACCACCTGAAACGTTGACGAAGCTTAAAATGCTATTTAGTGGCAGACCTTGTAGTTGATCAAGATCTTTAAAGAAGGTGCCATTAAAGTACTGAGTCGCCGCTGTGCATGAGTAGAACAAAAACAAAGCAGATGAGAGGCACTTTCATCGTCCTCCCCACAGCTGTGATAGATAAAATTGAAGAGAAGATTCAATCTTCTAGCATGACTACCTAATCTATAATAACTTGTAAGTAAACTTACCACAAGACTGATATCTCTACAGGACATTTTAATGGGAGTATTCGATTTCCTTTAGTGAAAGGTAGACAAATTGAATATAGATGCATGTATATCGTTGAGTCTTCCCATTTTTTATTAAAAAGTTCAGCACAGAAAGAGCTCAGTAACAGTTTGCATGATGTTAACAATATGCCCAGATTGTTTAGGTCTTTCGAATGAATTCCTGAAGCAGCCCTTCTGGTTAGCTCGTCTGCTTTAAAATCACTAAATATATCGTTATGACCGGGAACCCAAATTAGAGAAATATTGAGCTGTGGACAATAATTAATAGGGATTTTGTGGACAAAGATTTGTTACGAGCTCTCTAAGTAAATCTCTTAAATTTATGTTTCTTACAAAATTCTTTCACAAGTAATGACTTCTTTAAAAAAATGTTTGATGTGTTTTGAATATGCGTTTTCCTTTTAAATTATGCAATTTAATTTGATATATAAGATATTCGAAATGCAATACGTAATAATTACAACATAAAATTTTATTTTATTTACTAGTCGACTTAAGGGTTTTCAATGGCTGTCATGTTGAAGAAAATTAAAATTGCTTTAGAAAAAAGAATTCTTATCTACAATAAATGAAATGTATATACCGCGTGACGAAATAGAGCCATTCTCGAAATCGCTTTAATAAAAACCAGAAAAAGCAAGTGTCAATTGACTTCTCAATTGACAACAACAACTATGAAAAAAATGAAGTTTAAAAAATTGTCATAAGACGGCGAACCACAAGTATTTCAATGGACTTTTTGTAACGCTCGATAGACATCTGCATTCCAAAGTACGTATTCAGATGACGACATAAAAATGTAATTAAATTTTATGCGTTTGAAGTAAAAAATAAAAAAAGGAAATGCTTAGAATAATAAAATTGAAATTAATTTGTTAAAAAGATTTGAAATGTGCATTTATATAATAAATCTAACGGTTTAAATGTAAAAGACTGTCCTAAATAAATAGTTTTTTAAACAGTAAAAATAAAAACTAATTAATTGTTATTATTTTCATTTCATTTAAATTGCCTTTATCTAGTTACATATAGGAAAGTAATAGTATGAAAATAAATAATAAAATAAAATAAATTTAATTAATTTTTTTCGCTTTTTATTAAGTTTATCTAAGAGAATTAAAATGTTATTTACATATTTATTTTATAATTTTAAAATATTATTTTCGTTCCCGAAAAGTTCAGTTTTTTTATTCCTGATCTAATAACTTTCATTCGATTAAAATACTTTTATGAGCTTAAGATATAGTAAGAATTTTTATTAATACAAAAAAAATCATTAGTATTAGAAATTGATTTTTTGATATAAATATGTATACAAAGGCACACACATATAGTAGTCTGTAAGTCAATTCAGGTTAATTGAGCCTTAAAGGCAATGAAGAAGTGATTTTAAATGAAAATTTAATGAATAAATAATAATAATCATAAATATTAATATTTTTTATTTGTAATAAAAGTAATTTTTTTTATTATTTTGTTTTACAGTCCATAAAAGTAAATCGGATGAATGTAAGATATTATCGTCCCTCACGGGATACTGGACTATTAGACGGCATTGAGACAGTTTAGGCCTACCCGGTCGAATCTATTATAGTACATGATTACCGTTACTCGAGAAAGAGACATCGTGAACCAAATACTCGACGATATTTCTAACATTGGTATTGGTCAGATACTTGTATTAATAATACACCTGGCTGATTCCCATATACCCAACTTTCTACCCAAAATTAAGAGAAATGTGGAATTTAAATCGCTTTCTTAGCTAGTTGAGCAGAATTAGAGCCTCTTCTTACCCACTTCCACCATATGGTTTGTAACGAATATTTTAAAAAGTCGATTTTGCTTTTGTTTCGATTAGTATATATATTACATCTAGGAAGAATATATTTGTTAGCATTAAAAATAAATTTTTAAGGTTTTTTTTATGAAATAATAAGGATACTCTTACTAATAGTATTGTCTAAGTATAAGAGTCCATCGCATATACTAATATAAATTTATACTTATAGATAATATTAAATTTGAGCAGTAATTTTAGTTCTCACACTCCAGAGCCTGTACTGTGTTCCAGATTTTTTAATAATTATTTATGAATTCACATATTTGAATATAGAATATTTTGTTACTATAGATGTGAAAGTAATCATAGATATCAAAATACAAAGTTCCTAAAAATAAAAATTCATTATTGAAAAACTGTAGGGTGCAGAAAGATGTCATAGTGTTGCACTCGGACATTTAGCCTACGGCGCATATTACCATAGTGTGAAAAATCATTTATTGTACAATAAAAACAAAAAAAAAATTAAATCGTAAAATCGCTATGTACGAGCACATGCTATTCCATGTGGTAACAAATGCGCTTGCGCTATGAATTCTGAACGTTATATCCTCATAGCATAAATACAGTGTAGGCAATAAATTATGAGGAAATAATAAAACAATTATAGTTCCTGTAAAAGTACGCGGATGTAATAAAAAGAATAATTTTTAGTGAATGTTTGGATATTTCATTCATCCCTGCAGTATCTAAACATGTAATGTTCCTATCGACGATGCCGCACTTTGATTTGATGCATGCAAAAGGGCGCACAAATCTCAGGCGAAAGCGTAAAGCGAACGCCATACACATTTTATGTGGCCATGCCTAATTCAGCACAAAGAACTGCCCACTATCGAATGTTAAATTTAACCGAAGTGAAATTAATAGCACAAACCTGTAGAAGGAAACATGTCCAGCTATATTTTTATCTCTATTTTGCTCAGTACATATTTTTGTATTCATCATATTCGTATGTCCATAGGTGGGCGATTGATTTCCGATATTGTTTAACTTTTTATGTTTCATGGTCTAAATTTGCTTGAAATTGAAACTAAATCAGTAGGATGTGCATACATATTTAGAAAAATTTGACCGAAAAGGTATTCAATATTTATTTTAATAGAATAATATGTTATGTACAGAGGCGTATCCAACAACGGAGGTAATAAGAAATAGATGGTCCAAATGGTATGTGTAAATAAATTAAAATGCTGTTAAAGCCGTGTGCGAGTTCGAGTTAATTGAGTTAAAGTAAATTAAAATTTCCTAGGGATTTTTTGCATTGCTCTTTGCAAATATTTATTCAAATTTATTTATTTATTTATTAAACATCTTAGAAAATTTTCACAATGGTAACACCTAATTTATTAGATAAATATTAGATAATAAAATCAAATCTTTAATTAATATTCATTTATTCTTCAATATATATTGATCCTTTTTTCGAGTCAGCGCAACTGGGCACTTTTACTCTTTGATAGCTGGGGTACTACAGGGTCCTACCCATCTCATTGACTAATTTATGTATATCCTATAAGCTTCATGATTACTCAGTGATTGATCTAAGATCTGCGTACCTTCCCGTGCGGAGAGTGATTACTCTAAGATTAGATAGTGGTAAGTAGGATAGCC